AAAAGAAGAAATCGGAAAGCATTGAGAAGGGGAAAGAGAGCTAGAAGAGAGAGAGAACCAGCCGGGGACGATGGGAGGAATGTGGATGAGCTCCCATGCCTGGAAGTCTCAGCAGGGAGAGTAAGAGCAAATTTAATCCCAAAGACCACATATGTACATACAGAAGTAAATACCAAAGAAAATACAAAGTTCTAAACAGTAACTGACCAAAATCACAGTTAAACCAGAGGAAAACTTCCTTTTTCCCACACATTGCTGATTCAGACTACAGTGCCCACCCTCTGCCCCGAACTCTTACCTCTAGCTCCCATTGGCCCTCAATACTCCACCAATACTCTCCAGCTCACACTACTGGATCACAGCTACATGACAAGACAAGCCTCCTTTTGCAAATGGATGGCGGTTGTGCCCCCCTGTGTGTTTCCCTTGAAGCCCCCCAAGGGCAGTGGAACATCCCCACCAAAGCAGAGAACACTCTGGGAAGGACCATAAGACAGAGTCTACCCAATCTGTAGCCATCGACTACCTTATGTTTGCATGTTCACTTTTTATGTTTAATTTGTTTTTATTGAATTTCAAATGACTATAGACATAAAGTAAACATGTAACAAGCCAATAGAGCAGAAAGGAAGGGAACTGCATAAATACAACAGGGCTCAGCATGGAGTTCCACTTAGCACCACATGTTTGGAGTGTTACAAGCATTAATGAATCCTTACAACACCCAGGGGAGTCGCTCCCCTGGCCTGTCAGACAGGTAGGGGGACAGGTTCACACACAGAGGGAAAGATTTTTTTCCCTGTAGAAAACCCTGGAAAATTTGATCCCAAGATGCTCATGTTCCCAGCGGAGCTACACTCAGGTCACTAGAGCTGGCATGACACTTGGAGGAATCCACATGGGGTATTTGAAGTCTGTAGGACCTCTGCTGGGACTAGGGACAAAGCAAACTTTGCATTCTGGTTCATAGGTAGAAAGGGGCCAAGAACTCTAGACCACCCCATCCCCTGCCTTGGAAAAGAGCCAAATCCCAGGCCTGTTTGTTCTGTCCCGAGAGTGTTTCCACCATGAAGGGACAGCAGGAGCTGCAAATCTTTCCAGCACATTCTTCCTGAACATAGCAGACTCACACATTCTACTGTAGGGACTCACAAATTCAGCCACTTCTTGGAATATTATGTGCTCACTTCAGTCCAAGTCTTAGTTTCTCTGGCAACCCATGGATGATACCCAAGTGGAGGCAGTGTTGGTCACTACCCTCTGGTTCTGCTGAACTGTGCATATATGTGGCAAAGTGGTCCTGAAATTTGCTAGAAGAAAACCCTAATGTGAATCCCTCCCCCTGGGAACCTAGAGAGGATAGTCACTCTCAGGGATCCTTTCATTAATACTTCTACTAGAGGAGCAGCTTAGCAAGAAAATTTGATCCCAGAAGCCAGGGGTACACAGCACAGCAGATAAAATGGGTTCTTGTATTTGTACTTGACTTTAAAAGAGCAAAAAATCAGCACCAGGACCAGGTTGCACCTGGTAACTAAAACTGCAATTCCAAGAACGGCCTTCATGCAGTAAAGCCTGCTGTTCCCACCTGGCATGGCTTAGCTACCTAGTATCCTTGAGCAAATTCTCAGAGGCTCAGCACTGTGAGTAGGGCTACCTCTAGCAGGCAGGGTAGAAGGGAACTGTCTGGGTAGAGTTACACATATGAGCTCCAAGTAGGCAGGCAAAGCACTTGGTCAGGTTCCCTTGCTCTCCTGAACTTTTGACTGTTTCCAAATGTCTATAATGCCCACATCATGCCCCAGATCCCATCACCCTAAATTAATTATTGCATGTTGCCATTGAGAGCTGTTTGAGCTTATCTGCCTCCCTCCCATCTCAGAACTGCCAGGGTTGGTTGCTGAGGCCACACATATGCTTGCTGTGAGTGACAGGAACTTAGGTGGTCTGCCTAGCTCCATGGTGCCCATGGCCTCCCTGTGAGCCAAGGAGAGTGTGAAATGAGCCTCCTTTCCCTTCAACTCTGGCCCATCTGTCTCTCAGGCAAGCAGGTTTCTTGAAGTGGGATATGAGAGGAAGAGAAATTGGGAAGGCTAGAGAGGAAGCTTTGCTAATGGAAAGGTGTTGGAAGGAGCACTGATCCCTGGAAGGAGGAATGGTTCCTTGCTAGAAAGAGAAAAGCTGCCACACATCCAGCCATTGCTTTCAGAGCTCTCCTGGCAGAAGGTGGGCAGTCTGCTGGAAAGGACAGTGCCTAATCAAGCTTCCTAGCTTCATTCTCAAGAAAGAGGTCCCTCTAGTTAAACAACCCTGGTTTGTCTCTGGCCAGAGCCTCTGGGAGCTAATCACCCCCTCCCCACCTGACAGCCCAGCCACACTAATCAGTCTGAATTCCCTCACAAACTCCCTCCTACCCTAAACTGAATCGCTGTTGCCAGTGTGTTGGGGGAGGAGCTGGTCAGGGAGGGGTCTCTAACCTGCCACTAGCACCACACACCTTTCAAAGAGGCAGGAAATACAGAAGTAGCAGCCCTGGGAAGAGTCAGCTTAAAACAAAAACAGAGGAGAAGAAAAAATTGCCTTAGAATGTGTGCTGCATTCTAACTAGCCCCGCTGGGTCAATGCAATAGGGGTGGATTATTGCAGGCAAGACCTGGGCTGCCTCAGTAATTCTGTAAGTTTGATAAGAGATAGCTGGCAGACTCTGCTTCCTTCCCCTGAAAGAGAAAACAGACATCACCTTTGCCGCCTCCCACTGGCATGTGGTATGGGGGTCTCTGGGGGTCACTCTGCCTTAAAATTGGGCAGCCCTGTTCTATTAGGACGCATCGAAGCCTATTTAGAGCTGCCTGGATGCAGCCAGCACAAATAAAGCTATCATTCTTCTTGGGAAATTCTGGATTTGGTAGAATGTGACTGGCTCTGAGGTATCCCATCACCATCCCCTCCAAGATGGGAACAAGACCACAAAATCAGGTTTCACCTGGAGGAATGCATCTTTCCATTCATCTATTTGGAGATGATTCAGAGTATGAGCAAATATTATGCTTCCCTGCATTTATTTCTACTGAAAAAAAAAAAAAACCTATGCTAATTTATATGTAAATTCAGTTTGGCCCTGGGGCTCCTGGCAGGTAGCCAATGGGGTTGCTGATGGTGGGATTTTTAGCAGTTGTCTCCAGGTTGATGTTACAGACAGGACAGAGAGGAAACCAGGGCAGATGCAACTGCTGATGACTTAGGACTCTTCCTTGCTCATCCTCTGACCCTTTACACCTTGCCTGGTTATTTTCCATTTCTGCTGTCAGGATGTAAGAAGCTGTTTCCCCAAAGATGCCTGGTCTTGACTCAGTTTCCTTACTGTCAGTGCTAGGGCTCTGGTCCCAGTGAGTGAATTCCTGAGTGCCTGGAACAAGCACAGTACAGGTGCTCACATACACAACACACACATACACTCACACATACACACTGCTGCTACTCCATGTTACATAAGAGGAGTCAACCAAGGATCCTTCTGGACTCCTTATACATCTACAACCCCCAATGCCCAAGAGCACAAGAGGGAGACCACTGAGGCCTCGACCCCATGGTGTGAGTACAGCAGACATCATGGAGATCCTTGCATGATCCTCCTTCCTGGACCTTCTTTTCATTGACAGATTCTTCTCATCTCCCTTCTCTTCCTTCCTAAGTCCCAGCCAAGATGCACATATATTTGATCCTTTCCAGGGTGGTCCTCTGTCCACCTCATATAGACCTGCAGAGGACAGAATCCAGCCCTCAGAGAGGATATGGCAGACTAGCACCCAGAACTTGACAAGATCATGAAAACTCTGTACTGCAGTGGGGAGAAGAGGAAGCAGCCTTGGGACTTGCATCCTCTTTTACTCTGCCAGACAGAACTTTCCTCTGGGAATACAACTGCACAGGACAGAGCCTTGCCTCCCTCTCTCCCTATCTCAAGCTCCACTCTTCCCAGAGAGCTCTACTGGATCAAGCCAGAGAAAGTTTGTCTGTCTTAAGCCCTGAGTTCCAGCATCTTTAATATGAAAGGGGCAACGTAGACAAGCTGTTTAGGAGGTGAATTAGCTGTTTAGCAGCAGCTACTTCTGCAGCTGCAATGAATAGGAGGCCTGGAACAGGGGTAGGGACCACACAGTTCAGCAAATGGACTCAAGGTGGAGGCAGATTCCAAATGCACCTGAACCGGGCACAGCAAACACCAATCACACCCTGGCCAGAGAACAAACCAGTCTTTCTGCAACTGCAGCTCAGCTAACAAACAGACTGAAAATTAGCATTCCTCTCTTAATGCCTCTGTCCTTTCAACTTAGAAAGGCTTCCCTGAATTTCAGAGCCTACGGCTGCTTGCACTCCTTTTCCTCTGCTTGTTACCCCCAACGCCCCCCAGCCTCCACGACAAACACACCCCTAAACACACTTAAAACTAACACAGTTGTTCGGGTTGCTGTGCATCAATTCATCCCCAGACGCCAGACCGCTGACCAGCACCTTCTAGAAGGCACCTGATTATTTCCAGGCTGCGTTTCCCCCGTTGCTCCTTTTCAAAGCTTTGCAAGTTCACTGGCCGATATTTAAAGTTTCCTCCTGTAATTTCTCCCCAGTCACATACGCAGCACATTCGCAACCCCGCTGCCCTCCCCTTCTGCGAGACTCCCCTGCGTTCATGTGTGCTGGGCTGCGTAAGTGTGAAGAATGTGCATGAAGCCGGGGAGCCAGCGCATAGCCACGGACCCAAGAGGAGCAGCAGAGACACCTTTTACTTATGCATATATAGTCCCCTATTCCGGTAGCAGCCGGAATCAAATCAATATTCTCGCAGCCTGGTCGGGAGAATGAAGTCCGAGCCATGATGTTTAAAACGCTCGTTCTTCCACCTGCAAACCGCGAAGAGGAGCAGACCCAGGGAGCCTGCAAATCCTTGCAGCACCCCTTACCATTCCTGAGTCTACCATAGGCAAATCAAAAGCAAGTCTTACCTTGGAAGAGACACAGAGCTGCCAGCCCTGTGAAGATAGCCCAGGAGATAGAATTGTGCATTTTCGCCTGGATGGTTTTCATGATTTTTTTTCTTCTTCTTTTTCTTCTTTTTTGTCAGGTTCAGTTTTTTTTTTCTTTTCTTTTCTTTTCTTTCTTTTTTTCCCCCACTGATAGACTGTGTTGCTCTCAAGCTCGTCCGAGGAGATTTAAATCCACTGTTTTGCTGAAGGACACAAGAAGAAAGCCGAGGGCGTGAGAGAGTCTGACTTCTCCGTAATTATCTCCACTCATACTCTGGCACTGAGGCACATTGTACAATCTGGCCCCGGACAGCCCTCCTACAAGCTGCAATCATTGGTTCTAATCCAAGGATTGACAGAGCTACAACCCGCGCGCGGGCACACACACACACACACACACACACACACACACACACTTAGGAATCATTTGCTGGGCAAATCAGGCTGATTAAAGAGACAGGAGCCTGGAGAGATGGAATGATAAATTCCACTTTGACCCTTCTATATTACTTTCATTTTTTAAACTGACAGTTGCAGAGCCCTGAGCATCGGGAAACCCCTTTGCCCTGGCATTCTCCTGCCTCCTAAACTCAGATTCCCTTTGCACTGGAAAAATCCCATTGCCATCATGGCTTGCAGGAAATTTTAAAGGAACATTTTCATGCTCCGTGAAACTTGCAAGAATGAGTCAAATTCCATTTGTTGGTCCCTAGTTTCCCCGGGAGGGAAGTACCATCCAGTGACAGATTTCCCCTCTCCCTCTTCAACCTCTCTGTGTAGTCATTCTGAAAATAATAAATAACTTTCTGTTTTCCTTTCCTGTCACTCTTCTTTTAACTACCTCCATTGGTCCTGTTTTTCATTTACTTCATTTTCTAGAGTCACCCATGTGTACACAATCCCATGAAAAGGGATAAAGTGTCTGGAATTTGACAAAACAGCCCACCATTTGATTCCAGAGAACCCTCTTCAGAGAGTGAGGCCAGAGATCACACTTCAATCAATTAACATTCACTAATAAGAATGTTACATGTGTCTGTATTTTAACATTTAGTGAGATGGATTTAAGTTTGATGCACTGAAGGACTGTCAAAGTATTACTGTGGTATAGTTATTAGATATCATCAGATAGTTGTCGACATTTATTTCCTTGATGATAGGTAAAAATGAAAAACAAAGAAATAGATGAATAGATATAGTGATCCCCCTCTCCCAGATCTAATTCTAAGGCTTAGGAAGTTGATAATACTTATTTTTGGCTTCCTCTTATGGAAGCAAGTTTATATTGTGAACAAAAATTCTAGAAAGCTGAACTCCTCATGGATACTCAGCAATTTACACCCCAACTCATGTCAGCACAGTTTTGAAATGTTCTTCCAGAACTCTACTGCTAATCATACTTCCTGGCGATCCCCATAGCATAGCTAACACATATATTCCCAAACTGCCCCAAATCAAAGCATTCATTGCCTGTTTTTTATTTATGGGCACAAAAGGGAAATCAAGCTGGCGCTGGGTGCTTGTGCCAACCCCGGAGCCTAGTTCCTCTTGTTTAGTAGGTGACAATGTGCAGTACCCCCTGGAGGTGGGCAGCACCATGACCCTGGGAACTGGGGCTTGAAGCATCTTCTGTCCTCAGGAATCCAGGCTGAAGAGCAGGTCCTTCACCCTTCTGAGTCTTTGGTAAAGTGAGAGAGCTGGAGATAATTTTCAAGGCTTCTTGCTCATAGAAAACTGTTTTATGTTAACTTGTGCTTGCTTTCTTTTTTCTGCCATTAAATTCTAATTCACATGTCCATCCAAATGTCCCTGATTTTATGAGCTCCCAGGGCAAGAATTTTATCTTGGGTCCTTTTGTGCAATGCTCAGCATGGTGACACTTGTAATTAAATGTTCATAGGTAATTGTGACAGCAAATGACAACAGTGCAGAATGGTAGGAAGGGAGGTTTCCTTTTACCACCACTTCAGTTCTCTCCAGGATGATGACAAAGCCCAGAGTCACCGAGGAGTCGTCAGTGACTGGACAGGCAAAGACATTAATATTTGTGAATGTGCTCACCCTAAATGCACAAATCTATACACTTACCTTATTTCTATCATGTTCCCATTCGCAAAACAACAGCAAGAAATCAACCATTGTAGTCAATATTTATCGAGTATCTGCTATGTTCTGGGTATGATGTGCAATGTTTGCATGCACTTTTCACACCAAATATTCACAACCTGTGAAATGGTAGTATTATTCTGCCTACTTTATAGATGAGGACATTGAGGCTCAGAAAACACTTGCCCACAGCTACACAACTCTTAAGAAATAAAGTGTGCGAAGGACTCAAATAGATTCCAGAGATTCTTACATCTAATTTTTTTCCCTATTTTAACAGCAATGAGGTTCCAAATTAAACATGCAAAACAGCAACTATATTGACACAGAAAATTTACAAAACATCATATACTGCTTTTACCCTTAATTTAGTTGCCAGTGGTTGATAACTGTAATTGATTCTCCCAGCCAGCACCTGGTGAGTGCCCGTTTTCTATGATAGTTTTCTAAAGTTCTTTAGAGAGGTTGGGAATCATGAAATGCCTTAAGGGGGACATAAAAGAGTGGATCGATGGCACAGGGAAGAATACTACAAGCAGAAGATGCCATAAATTAAAAGTTAGCGTTGGAGGTGCGACAGACCTGTCTGAGATCTTCCCTTATACCCTGCTGTGTGGCAAGGAAATTTTTTTAAATTAAATTAAATGAAACCACTCCTGATGTCCGAACCTTGGCAGTTACTTTCTGCACATAGGTGGTATATCTGCGGCTGACACAGGACAGAAATACTGGACACCCATTGATCAACATTCCTGCCACTTCTTGAAGGCGCATAAGGACTGGGATTTTGTCTTCCTAGGTTCAAATTCCAACTCTGGCCCTAGAAGCCTGGGACTCCCTTGGAGCTATCCCAAGTCCACATCCAGGCACAGACACACATCACGGCCACCAAGTCATTTCCATTTATTTTACTACTTTAACCGAGTTAATTCTGATGTGGTTGCCCACTTGGTTCACTGGGAGAAGCAAATCTCCCTGGGTTTGGTAGCTTCAGAATGGGGTCATCCTTTCACTGAGGCAAAACACACATAGGGCTGAGGGATCCTAGTGAGGCTAAATGGCAACGTCCGGAGAGTGCTGTCTCCCTCTGTGCTTGCACAGACCACATTCAGCAAAGATTTTTCAGTGGCCTTCACATGTGCACACCTCTCCAGAGAAAAGGCATCTTTCCTTTCCTTTGTTGTGGGGTGCAACTCCCTGTTGCAAGCAGGTAGGCTTGTAAGGTCATTCTTTAATTCATGGTTGGAGTTACCAGTGACAGACAGTATCCTGGGCTACTTACAGAAGAATTTAACCAGCCCCTGGCTTCACTACGAGAGTGATCCCATCAGTGGAATCTGCTTTCCCCCGTCCCAATTTCCATTTGAGTCTCAGGTCTACCAGGATGTAACTGCACCTACCCCTCCCCAAGGAGTTGCCTGATCTTTCCATTTTAGGATGGCAACTCTGTTGGGTCCTTCCGTTTGTGTCTGTGTTAGGGATTTCTGTGTCAAGAGTTAGGGCACTGACTGATGACCCTCTGATTGGGAGAAGCTGTGATTGAAAGGGGACACTTGGCAGTCTCAGTTCCTTATGCCACAATCAGAGTTCCTTCCTCTGAGTCAGGGGCTCAAGCCCTTCTCATCACGACTGCAGGATGTGCATTGCCCCTTGGGCTCACCGTGTTCGTGTCACTCACCATTTGTGCCCCATGCCATGTCATAGACCAGCTCCTTTGCAGAAGCGGCTGAGTGGCCTGCACCAAAAAATCAATGCCAAGAAGACTTCGAATTCTAGGCAGAATGATATTCTCTTGCCACCTGCATTCCTTAAACTTAAGAGAACTTTTACTACAGGGATGATTTTGCTGTTTGCAGGTAAAGAAGGAAGGGGCATCAGAAATCAAGATGGGGAAGCAGATAAGGTCTTTAACTTCTGAGGTGAGGGCAGCCAGCATTGTATTTCATAAACCTTTCATCATCCAGCAGCTTAAGATTCCACCCAGTGTGTGATGAGCTACTACAAATAGGGATTGATTCTCTGCAAACTGCTCCCATGCACACCTGTCACCTTAGCCCACAGCAGACAATAAGTCCAGGAAGGTCACTGTGAGACCTAGCTGCCCTGCTGTCCAAATCGCAGCTGAACCCTGACAGCGGCCTCCAGCTCAGGAGAAGAGTGAACAATGGCCCGCGCGTGGTGGGCCTGCCCTGAGGACCAGATTGGAAAGTCACACAGAGGAGGAGGAGAGGAAGGTGTGTGGTGTGTGCGAGGGAGGCAGGAAGGAGTGTGCAGGCGGTGTTTTTATTTCTCTCAGCCATTATGGAAAGAACGGCAGGAGCTTAAATCTAAAGAGCTGCGCAGAAATAATGTTGAGGACTTAACAAAAGCCGCTGCTCGGCTCCACCATCCGCCTGCTGTGGCCTGCCTCTGCCGAGGCTCAGTGCAGTGGGTGATCTCGCATTCCCAGACGCTTGCACAAGCTGCCCTCTGCACATGTGGGGCGAGCCCTGTGCAGCTCTAACTGGCAACTGTACAAGGCCAGGGCAGGAAGCGGGTCCCCTGGCTTTTCCTAGGACTCCCCCTGGAAAGGGGCAGCTGGTGTGGTCATCTTAGGTGAAGCCATCATATGAGATCATTTTTGAAGAGAAGAAAATGGGTCTAGGGACAAATCAAGTCTGAATCATTTTTAGAATTTAAGAGCTGCAGATTTTCTGATATATTTGATAATTCTCCTAAAATGGTATTAAAAATGAAAGCTTAACCCTTAGCACAGAGATTTAAGTCCAAAGTCCTATGTAAGGAGAAGTGTGTGAGTATGTGTGTGTTTAGGCCAGAGGTCAACCTTTTCTGTTGTTTCCCTAGATGCCATCCACCTTGTTTTTTTAGATAAAGTTGCTCATTTGTCTGAAACTTGCCAAATGGGCCAGTCTGGTCATTGAGCACCAGGAATCTACCCATTTCTGCATCCCCAGCACAGGGATTACAAGTGAGGGTCACCCTGACCAGTGTTTTAAAATTTTTTACATGGATTCTGAGAATCAACTCAGGTCTTCCTGATTTCAAGGATATCACTTTACCAATATAGCCAGCTCTACAGCACCAAAAGGAGTTTCTAATGAATTATAGGCATGGTTATCTGGTCTTGAGCTCTATAAATTCTCATCAGTAGAAGACATGGGATTTGAATTTGTGACTCTGTGACTCTGTTTGACCCCAGTCCAGTCATGCTCAGTGTTTATCCTGTCTCCTTCCAGAGCACCCTTAAAGGGAGATCTAACATCTGCCTTGCTGCCTGGTGGTAAATGGAGATTCATTCTTCAAAATGAAGACCACGAACATCCTAACGCAATGACTAGCATACACGTGCACTGGCTCTTTGTTTTTGTAGTTAGCGTGCATGGAAGAACAAACGGGTGTGCTGGTTCACACTTTAAGCAACAACATTACAGCCGTGGTTCCTGTCCTCACGTCCTTAGAGCGTATTGTCAGTGTGTCTGGGTG